TGCATTCGGCGCGTCCGGTTCATTAGCTTAACAGCCTCCGGGGAAACGCAGGTCGTCGATCACTGGACCGCTATAACAGCTACCCTCTTCCCGGATACGAATATGTTGTAGTAATAATTGTGTTACCGTAATGGTTTTTCGTGAACATCTCAATTTCGGCACGTTGTCGTATCATCCTAAGTCCATCGGCAAACAATATGCGTCCCTTTTACTGTTTTCGGGTAAATCGTTCATCGCTCCCCCTCCCCGCCGAGGGGTTGGATTTTGACCCCGATATAATATAGCGTGTAATCCTTACTTTAATTTCAATCGCATAACGAAACAGTGCTGTGCACGGCTAAGGCCATGTTAAACTCATTATTCAGTGTCCGGTCGAATCCACATCCCGGGTCGAGTAGCCAATGGCGAAATTCGATTTTCAATGGTGTTTAACTACCTACTATACACAGCGTATCATCAACAATATGAACAACGCGCAATGTAATTATTATTATCCCATGTCGATCAAACTCCTTGTTTACCCCGTACATACCCCGTAGAGGGTATGAGATTTACAATTTAACGTGCAATAATAATACTAATAATTAACCTTCTGTAGCCCGCAAGATGGTAAACATTTTAAATAACCGTGAAAAGGAATTGGTTTAACGTAATAGGTACAAATAAATGTTTATAAAAATAAAGTAGTACAATATACTCAGTACATGTGTCATGTCAGTATTATTATATTGTGTTCGCCGTGGAATAATAATAAACGTACCAATGTATTATATAATATTATATACTATATTATGTACACACTCTATGCTGGTTTAATCTGTATAGTCTGGAGGAAAAATTGTTCAAGTCGGGCGAGGGTGGAAAAGTATCGAACGGTACCCGCCGACACTTGCATAAACCGGAAACGCGATAATGTCTTTTGGGCACGAGAGAGTTCACAAAGGCGTCGACAGATAGGTATAGCGGAAGTAAAAGTAAATGTAAAAAAAAAAAAAAAGATAAAAAATACAACTCGAGGACGTTTTTAATTACACGCCCTTTGAAACCATCAAAGTACACGCGGTAATCGGTTAATTGAACCGCCGCACCGCTCGCGCAGACACATTAATGTTTCATGACAAATCCCTCCGAGGACTTTTGCATCGATAAGGGAAATAATATATTCCTTTTAAGTCGACTCGAGTTTTTCATTCCGTAAATACCATCACAACGGGTAAGCTGCGTATTGTATATAATATAATAACGTTGTAGGTGTCGTGTAACCGAATAGCTTTCGCGCCTCTTTTGTGCGCGTTAAATTCCATTTTCCACTTTAATCACTGCGCTCGGTTACCGCACACACAAGGTTTCAGCAAGAGTGAAAATTAACTGTCAATTGCTTTTCTGGATATTTCGTTCCTGTGGGATGCGCGGCGTTCATGTTTTATTCATCGTCGACACTTGGGTGGTTACTGGTTCATTCGTGTAGAGACCTAGAATATTATTTTATAGTACTTTATTATAATTATAACCATGTATAATAACTAATAACGATAATAATTTGTCGTAGCTTTTTTCCAGTCTACATTCTTTATTTCCTACTAGCATCAGTTTTTCATACTTTATACGTTGTCTAATAAATGTGTTATTATCAATGCGCATTAATTTATGCATACACAACGTGCTACATACAAATTAGAACATTAATACCTTAGTAAGTGTTTTGTTAAGTAGGTGCCATATTGGTTTGAAAATAATTCATGAATAATTTTTAAATTTACAATATTTATAGGAAGTATTATAAGTATTAGCATATTCGTGTAAATTATACTTGGTTTTCTGACAAAATATTATTTAAAGTCTGTTAAATTTAGATTTTGACGAACACAACTAGAATATTGCATAAAAACAAAAATTCATATTTATATCTGGATTTTATTTGATTCATATTAGATTTTGTGTACCGCGTTTAGTAATAGCTTCCATAAAATACTGATAAACATGCTTTTCCATATAATTTTCAACTTGTATGCTTTGAAAGCTGGAAAATTTTTTTTAAATTTGTTTAAATATTCTTTTTCTAATATTATTTAAGTCCAAAACTGGTCTTAGATGTGGATTTTGGTGTTTTTTTAAAAACATTTTGTAGCCAAATAATGATTACTAAAAATTGGAAAAAATTTCAAATATTATATAATTTAAATTACAGTCTGAAGAAACTCAATCTTCGGTATGTTTATTATACAAATTTACAATGTTAAATTATATATACAAATTTTCTGTTGCAAACTATAGTAAGCACAGTAATCCCATATGTTGTATACAATCGAAACTCGAGAGACTTAAAATATATTATGCTCAGTATCAATACTTAAAATTTAAATATTTTTCATTTTATCGCATATTTTGTCGGTGCATAATATATATCCTGTACGTATAGATTCCAATAAATTTCGTATTCGGTTTATGTGTACGACTAATAGACGAGCGGAACTTTGAAATAGTAATCGGCTGCTGAAACTAAATGACTCCGCTCTCCTCGTCTCCTCCTTAATGACGCTATAAACTCCCCAAACACAAACAGATAACGCTTTATTGCCAATGGCGTTTTATTTTTATTATTATTTTTTTCCACGCAACAATATTCTTTTTCCCCGGGTACCCTTTACTTCCTGTTCGACATATGTGTGTGCCCACCATGCCGCCAATCGCACGGGGTTGCATAACTAATTCCGTTTAATAGCGCTTGTCGTAAAACGGGATGATGTCGGCGCATCCGGAACAAGGGTTTTCTGGTAAAATAAATCGAGTGGGACGAATATAGTAGGAATACCTAAATAAAATAAAAAAAAGAGTGTGTTTTTTTGAATAATTTATTAACGCAGACGGCCCGAATCCGATTGAACGTCTGTTCGGTTTATTTGAATATATTGTAAACTTTAGCCCCATAATATACCGCTGGGGTGTTTTATTATACACACACACAACGCCGTCGACTAAAAGTGTGCAAACGATCTCGTCTATGCGACTTACGGTGCTGCGCCATCGAGCAAATGGCGAACAATCATCGTTGCACTCTATTTGGGCGACTGTGGCGAATTGTTCTCAGCGCAATGCAAATTGAATAATATTCCGCATAAAGAGACGACCCGGGTTGGTTTGAAGGAAGGGGTTTTGGGGGCAGAACAATTTCGAGGCATAATTTTCCTGTGTAATGTGTGTACTATACCAATAAATACATCATTCGCTTTGCTTTTTACTCTGTTTTCATGATGAGTCTAAAAATCCTGATCCGACCTGTTGAAATCATTATTGTGCCACGCCCTGATTGCGAGGACCAGTCGTTTTTCAATTTAACATTATTAGTACTAAAATAAAACATCAGGAATAACTTGAGTATTTTTGTTATGATGAAATTTGCTTTAGAATTTCACCTGTTAATATGCCAAGTTGTAGAGCTACTCGTCTACTCGGCGAAGATGATTTTGTCTGCTTGGCGCGGTTAAAAAAAATTCTGGTTATTTGTTTATGGGATTTGAAGGATTTTCGTGAGTGCTCTCTAACTATTTGTGTTGACGATTGAATTTATAATGACGCTTCTATTATAACCGTATATATATATATATATTATTAGATGTTGGTACTTATAATAATTTATCACCGTTTTCAATGGTAAATCAATCGATTGTCCAACAACAAACAATACTCAATTTACCGGATGGAAAACTGAAACCCGAACAGTTGTAATTGACACGCTGCGGTGGCCGTCGTCGTTTTTAATACGGTAAAACAGCACAGCTCCTCCTCGTCGCTCTCGTACACGGATCAAGAATCATGTCATCCGGGATATTTATGATCGCGTCCATCGCATGTATACGGTTTCTTTGGGGGTCCGTGGCAAATTGGTTTATTGGGCGATTATAATATTATACGGGGGCGGGCCGGGGGGTGGGGTGGAATGAGACGGACCTGACCGTCAAGAAAAAGCCGAAGGTTTCCCAACAGAAAGTGTCGGGACACACGCCTTTTGATTTATGATGTGAAAAACCCCGGTCTCGAGGAGGTGGCACGGTGACTGTGGAACTTAACACTTAGTGCACGACCACGTACCGGCCCCGGCCACCGGGGATGAATGATGAACGTCTGTCCGCGACGACTATTTGTCATCTTTTCCTCGTTGCCCTCGGCGAGGTGCGTTTTCACCCTCTCTCCGTCCGTCTTGGCTAGCACACATCCGCGCACGGCGGCGATATATCCTTCGATACATCTGTCAATGTCCGTGGAAGACGTGACGACAAAAATCCCGGGTCGTCGCCGGGTTTCCGCCGTATTGGAATTATATTATTGTAAAACGTCACTAAAGGGTGTCGCAAAAAAAAAAAAAACAAAAAAAAAAATACATCAGTAGTGTAGAGGGTTAAAGTCTCCGTGCGGGAAAAGTAGAGCGCGTTCAAGCCGTTCAGACGAAGCCCGGTCGCAGTTAATATACTAGCAAAAGGCTCAAGTGTTATCAAGAAACCAATTAGGTGGACAACGCTGCGCCCGGTTTTAATCGAAACTTTCGCCCGAATTAAAAGTAAACAGCTTGTGCACGGTCTTGTGTACACGAAAGAAACCGGGTCGCGTCTTGTGTAAACAGCACCGCGAAGGGTGGTGACCGGCCCACCGAAGGTAATTGGTTTTAACCCGTGTTGCTTACATTTATATCCCCTTTTTATAAGTCGCTCGTTTGCCGGAACGTGAACTGCGTTGCAGATTGTAAACACACTTGAGCTAGTTATCACAGTCGGCAATGTTTTTCATTATATTTTAATACTTTGTACAGATATATACTAGATTGTTATTATACACATAGATGTTAATTGACGTTGGAAATAGCTATGACTACTCAATCATTTATTTACTAATCGCCGTTAATTTATAAATACTCGTTCATATCAACATAAATTACTTTTTATAATACCCATTTAGATTGTTTGTTATAAATATTAGGCGTTTTCTGGTTGTTTTAATCGTTTAAAATGGACGCCATTCCCGCAGAGAAACTCTACGACGATCCTGTGTATCATTTTTATGATCCCAAGTTCATCCTTTCGTCGGCTTTCATCAAAGAACAATTTTTGAAACATCAATCCAACGAAGAAGTCGCCCGTCTACTGGCGCTAGAACCGCATTTTGACTGGAATCTAATTGTCGAGTTGGACTTGTCCATGCTGGGAATGTTGCACATTACCGGCTTGCGACTGCCGACAAACGTGAGGCGTTTGAAATTGGCTCAAAACGATATAAAAAAAATCGAGCACTTGGATTCGCTTGTAAAACTGGAACACTTGGATCTGTCGTTTAATGAAATTGTTAAAATAGAAAATCTCGACAAGTTGACCGGTATAAAGTTTTTAAATTTGGCCGGCAATTCGATCGTTAAGATTGAAAATTTAGAGACAAACACATTGCTGGAGAAGTTCTTTATCAACGACAACATGATCAGTGATTTGAGGCAGCTGTTGTACTTGAAACGGTTTAAGAAATTACAGTGCATGGAAATATTGGATAACCCGGCCACTAAAGATGCGGTAAACTCGAGGAACTATATCGTCTGCCGGTTTCCCAGGCTACAGTACCTCAACTCTGTGTTCATAACGGACCAAGAACGATCGTCTGCCGGAGTGTTGGAGCCCAAAGTGACCAGCAGAGAAAAGGCAGCCGACGACGCTTTGTTTTTAGCCGATAGCGCGATAGAAGCTAGAGAAAAAGAGACGATCGCGCATAAATTAGCATTCGTAGACAACCTGGATGCCGACAGCTTTGTGGATTATCTATTTCAAAACGACAGCGACGGCAAAGTGTTTAGAAGGCTCAACACCGAAGTGAAGGCTGCGTACGCAGACTATGAGAAAAAAATGGCAGAAATCACTCAGGAGGTGTTTCGGATGGGAATGGACACGTAAGGTTCACTCGTCGTCGCACGCACAGGAGTCGATGATAGTCGATTTTGTCAATTTCAGGCTTTTGCAACGGGAACAGGCTTCCGAGAAGTTCAACCTTGCTTATTACGCGTTCGAGAAGAAATGGACCGACAAAGGTCGCAATATGATTTGCGAATTCTTAAACGTCAGGTATTTCAGGATGAAGACGATAGCCGGCCAGTACGACACGAACGAAGAATCGAAAATTAATAATTCCACCCAATCAAAGCCCGTGGAACATTCTGACGGTGGTGGTGTATACGCGGTTTCGGTGGAAGTCCTGGAGCAATCGTTTGCCGACGAGACGGAAGCGTTGTGTTTCCGTTTGCACCTGAACAACTTTTACATGAACAAGTCGATCGTGACGATGATAGGCAAGTACGAAAAGAATCTGGAAGACATACTCAAGATTTTCCTGGAGCCGTTGGTCGAACGGTTTGCCGATCTGCGTGAAGTAGAAAACGATTATTCCCAAGCGCTAAGCGAATCCGTAAAAATGGTCTTGAACAATCCCGACAACGCTGAAGATATTTCGTTCTGTTTAGATCATTTCGGCGGAGACAGGTACATATTATACGATAATTATAATATTAGTTTATACAACAGGTTTACAAGAAAAAAATTGTAAAAAACCGACATTGATTGAGCCCATTTTATGTTTGTTTTTACAACATTTCATTTGCCATCCAACGTGTATTGTAAATTGCATGTAAAATGATAACGTTATAGTGTCGATAATTGTACCTATACTATAATTCATATTTTTATTTGGCTTAAGGTTCGCTATGATTCAAGCCACGTACAAATCCACGGACAAGCACATGGATGCGATTTACATTCGAGAAGAGAAACTTAATTTCGACATAAAGAACTGGACGAAAACTAGGATTGACGATTTAAAAAACAAAGAGAAAAAGAGATATCTAATGGTCTGCGAGGAAATCGCCAATTTTCGAGAAATACAAAGACAGTCGTTTCAAGCGGTCTTGCGCTCGCACTTATTTATTATGTAAACACAAATTCAATAACAAATTCGCCATAAAATATAAAAAAAGCCAAAGTTTAAATCGTCCCTTATATTTTATATAAATGACGAATGATATACAATAGTAATTTACCATAAAATCGGCCATTAGAAAAATTGAATAAATATTTTTCCAGTTGGTAAAAAACTTAACCTAATTTGAAGACGATTCGATGTAGATAGTACGTTTATTTTTTTTATACTGTATGGATGAATTATGCGATGTCAACATGAACATGATATTATTATGACAAACATGTATGCAGAGATTAAAAACAAAAATATGCGTTGGTTGTTTTTAACGAATCGAGGAACTCGTGGACTTGAACGCGTTGTCTTTTCTTAGTTTTGTCCATTTCCATCTTTTCGTTTCTTCGACGTCGGTGTTGTTTTCGTACAGTCTTGTCATGATCGTGTCCAACATGGACCCGGAAACGTTTGGGTTTCTCCGCAAGTCCAACACCACCAGTGTGTTGTTGACCATCAGCGTGGACAGCGCCAGCTGAGCACCGCGGTCGGTCAGCCCGCAGTTTTGCACGTCCACCGCCTTAACGTAGAAGTCGTCCTTCAGCGATTCCAGCAGGTCGGCAACGCCGTTGTCGCCCAACGTGGGGTTGTTGTTCAACGTTAATCTGCGCAAGCCTTGCATCGCGTCCGGGTTGGCCGACCTGGACCGCAGCGAGTGCACCCAACACTCCTCGTGCCGCCGGACTTGCTGCTTTTTGATCAGGTCGACCACGCCGTTTTTGCCGGCAAACGGGCTCAGCGCGCATCCCGTCAGGTCCAGCGAACGGACGTTGGGTTTGTCCCGGAGTGTCCTGCACAGGGACACGCAATCGTCGTCGCCAAGGCGGCAGTAGGCCAGGGACAAGTGCTGCAGCGTGCTGTTGGCCGAAATGCCCGTCAACAGACGTTTCAGGGCGTGGCAGTCGAACATGATGTTTTCCACTTCCAAGCAGAGCAGTGCGTGCGATTTCGATAGCATTTCGCACAGACACCCGGCGATGGTGTTGACAACGTAGAGCGTGCTCGACGCTGAGGTATTTCTGCAAAATTATAAGACAGCAAGAAGGGTTAAGTTTTTTTTATCTTGTGTGTGGTACCGCAATTTCGGACGTACTTGGGCACAGACAACGCGCTGGAAAGCGTGTCGTAACTCCTGGCGATGATGTCCGGGTGTCGTCTGTTCTTGATGAGCACGTGATGAGTGACCGTGTCGTTGCTCAGAGCTTCCATGGCTGCTTGCCAGTCGTCGGCCTTCATGCGGTCGCCCGTGATCTCGACCGAATTTTTCTTATCGCTAATCTTCACACAATGCGACAAACGGGTGCTGTACTTGACACAGGCCAACGCGTACAAAGCACCGAAGTTGTTCTTTCCCGTCGAGTCGGCGGACGTGGTCAGGTTTCGCACTTTGTTCCTGTAGGATAGTGTTGTCGCAGCGCTGCCGCAAGAAGAAGAGTTTGCAGAAAGCGACGGGCGCGGTTTCGACACAGACATTGTGATCGATCGGGTCTGACTACTTATGTTTTTTTTTTTTTTTGGTCAATAGAAAATGTCCACCGTGACGAGCACTGTCCAGTATACACCTATGCTTATTGTAAACCGATTCTTTCAACGTTAAAGATAAAGATCAATAGGACGCGGCGTTGCTATCGGTAACGCGTTTTTCAAAGAGTGTTAGTTTTTTTTTTTTTATTATTCCGGCAGCTGATCTCTTCACACAGTCCTAACCGTGCATTTCTATGGTCTTATATACACTTCCCTAATAACAACTTTCGACAACAAATTTCACGGCACACTTGACACGCGAGCCCTCCGCAAAGGAAAATTTCCGTGAGAACTGCGCCACACTTTTTTTTTTCCGCCGTCAAAGATGATGATTTTCTTTCGGTATATACATACACACTACACGGCGGCGACAACCGGATTACATAATTTTCGGCAAAACCTCCCCGACCCTTGGATCGGATAAAAATAATAATACAACAAAAAGGAATTGTAAAAAAAAAAACCACCCCGAGAACGCCTTATCTCTTTTTTATGGCCGCCCTATCATTTTGTGTTCATCTCTTAACCAACACGCATCGACGATCACCTCTGCTTTCGGTGAACTCGTGTGCATTTTTTTTCTTTTATACTTTTTTTTTTACCTTGCGTTTTTATTTTATCGCCCAGTGCATTTTAAATTACAGCCTTCTTTGTCGTTCAAAGTGTTTCATCTGGTTAAAAAAAACACCCGTTTTCCATATAGTACGCTTAAATAGAGCTTTGCGTTTTCCGCCGCTTTTGACTGTAATATATTTTTTTTTTTTTGTAGACTTATTTTACAACCACAGCGCCAACTAAAGTGTCAGCCTCTTCGACGTACAACCGCACAAGGCATTTGTGTGTGTGTGAGTAAAATGAAATTCATAAATGCAACACGACGTTTTGTAAAATAAGGTTTCTTCGTTCGAGGAGAGCTGCGAACTCGGTTTACATTTTAATCAGTTAAGTGATATTATATAAGCATAAAAACCGAGTTTTCGCATAAATGTATTGTACGCGAAAGATGTAGTGACTTGTTATGATGATTTGCGTTAAAAATAAAAAAATACAGAATAACATTATCCTTTACAGTTTGCCACGACTATACAATCGACATAATTATTACATTATAGGTATTTGTTATAAAACTGCGACAAATTTGATTACAATGATTAATGGTATATAATATTCTGATGGCCTGTCCGAATTTAAAAAAAAAAAAGCTAATTTATGCCTTTTGAAACGATACAAACAATATTTTATATCCTCCACAGTATCCTACATAGTTTCTTACAAGTTCATAATTAGCCAAGCCATCAAAAATCATACTATTTAACATTTTCTTTAATATTCGTCGTGGCTATAGCAAATAATATAAATATTGGCTCGGTGAAGTTAGGTTAGAATAATTGTAAAATAACAGTTACCGACTGTTAAGACTCTACGATAGGGGTGGGGGAAGGAGAGTGGTGAGTGGCCTGTCAATCACGGACACCTCGGCTACCTTGACAGTATTTTCTAAAATAATATTTCTGTTTCTCAAGTAAACGCGATGTACCTGTCTGTTTTACATACAATATACTATATGTGGTATATTATTATTACCGATATCGCGAATACGACGCGCGTGTGTGTGTGTGTGCGTTTAATTTCCTGGAAGAATAATGATAATACATCCGGTATTCCGGGCATCGTGATAACAACATGTGACACACGCACAGCAGCGCAGAGAACGATTTGGAGAAACGTTTGGGAAAGAAAAAAAACCCCATCGTCATCTCGTAATACTTTATTTTTCAATTTTTCTTTCTTTCCCCTTTACACACACACACATACCTACGCTCTATCACATAAGTATGTGTGTGTGTGTGCTCGGTCCTAACCGCGACGAGAATCAATCATACGCGCGTCAAACACATGTAAAACAGTTTGACGGCACCGCCGACATTCCAGAGAGAGACAAAATATTAAGTAAAACGCGTTTTTTATCGTTTCTCTTCTGTTCGGCGTTTCCTTTTAAATTTAAAAAAAAAAAGATGATCGATTCATCATCGGAGGAGAGGGCGTGAAAAAGTCACGGTCCTAACCGTCTTGCTTGGAGGTGGTGGGATCACGTGTCGCGGGGCAGAGCGCGCACCTACATGTATAATGTGTGTGGAAAAAAAAGGCCAAGGGTTGCCGGTTGCATTTGCGCGCGGCATAATATTTATATATTATTATGACGAATGTAGTCGAACGAAATAAAAGACTCGGCGTTATAAATCCCGGTGTGCCTTTGGAAAGGAAAAAAAAACGGGTTGCCGACTTTGCCGGTCGTTTTTAACTCGATAACTACACATAAATCAGCGCCTTAAACGGTGGCGGCACAAAGATGTCACTGGCGCAATCAACCGGAAAGCTCTTTCTGGAGATTCCGTTTCAAACAACATGTATAAAAATAAAAAAAAATACACACATAATATTATAATGTGTTTTATTTTTATTTTATATTTGTAACGGCGTGCGGTGCCGTTCAAAAGTAAACAAATGCGCGCACTATAGGTACATGATTGTACTGTGAAATTCACACAAACACCACCAACATCTTTACAATAATTTCCCCTCGATTCCAGTGTGTGTGTGTGTATGTTTTCACCCCCCCCCCCCCCAATATTGTAAACATAGGTCACGTTTTTTAAAACTAATTTGTATTTATCACGGTCGATTTGCTTTCGGCAAGTGGATCCTATGTAGATGCATACGCGCAGACAAAGAAAAAGGCCATAAATATCGATAAAACAGATAAAGGCCATGTAAATTGTATGATTTCACGCACTGCGAAAGGGTTAAAAAAACACATATGTCTAAATTGATTTCGTATGGATAATGTAATAAAGTCGTTTATTCGAAAGAGTTTCAGTATAATATATCATTATTATGTCGCGCACATATATTATATACTTGGGATTCTACTTTATGTAAGATTTTCAACTGTATTAATGTCACAATAGTGCGAAATCGAGTAGACCGTTATTGGATTTAACGACCACTTACAAAAAATACTATTAACGGTTTATAAGACATCTTGACAGTTACTTATTAGACGATTACAATATTAGGGAGTAAAAAAAAAAAGAATTATGAATAACCCAAATATTCCAGTAAATATAAAGAAGAAAATAGAGAAAAAATCCCAACTATGTGTTGTTTTTTAATGAGCCGGGTATGAATACTGTACAGTGTTACTACTTTAGCGTAATAAATAAGTTTCAAACATATTTTTAGGTCTAGAAAACAAAAAAATATGTGCCGTCAATGGCGTTTAACATAAATAATCCGACTGACCTAACCAAGTAACTAATAATATGGAATCGGCGACTAATAGGATTTTGGACGGTTTGATTAATTAAAACTATATTTTACAGTACCTATCTACTATACATCATCTGATATTACAGATTTTGTGTTAATTAATACATTTTACCGAACACCACGCCGTGTTCAGTCAGTCAGCAAATTTACTTTAGATTGATGTCACTATTTATTTATTATAATTGCTATTTACTGTTCATATTATATAGCTGTGTTTGTATTTGGTCGCTGTCGAACCGTAATAGTGTACACCGTAGTACATGTTAAATCCAATGGCAATCGGACTAATGGGCTGTGTGGCCAGGACCGAAATGCGCACTAGACCTTATCTGCGTTTAAAACCCATCCGGCGAGGGTTGGAGGGTGTGCTCGGTCACAATTAACGAGATTTACATTAATATTATTAGTATCGTTTTTGCCGTACGCGCTAACGCCCTATGTCCAATTTAATTGACCGGTATAAATGAAACCAGCTCCCTTAATGGACAATGTCCGCAGTAACCGTTGTATGACTTACAATGAACTACTCGACCATAATTGTATTTGCAAAATTAATAGATTGAATTCAATAAAAAAAATATATTTAAAAAAAAAAAATGTTATAACATTTTTATCATTTTGACAAATAATGTTTTTTTAAATAAATTTATCAACATTTTACTTAAAAATATAGATTTCATCTACGTTGCTAACAATTGATGATTATTATGATGTATATTGTTGAATCAATATTAAACAGTTAACTATCCAAATAAGTACTCGATTAGTCGCCTATAATTCAACATGGTATTAAATTTTCAATTTATACAGCGAACAAACCGCGATTTTGTATTGGTTTTACCGGGAGATTCGTTTAAGACTTAGGGTCGGCTATAACTCGACCAATTTTGGTTAATATTTTCATAGAACTGATCGCTTACAGACATTTTGTGTGTAATTAATCGCTACACGCCGTCTGTGTGGACTCAACCCTTGAAACTATTAGTACAGTATATATAAATTAGACGGTATCTAAGTCGGCGGGGCGGGATAGGTAAGGCGGGCAGGTGCGGTAGGGTAAAAGGTTTTAATCGTGACTTCACCGTTTTTCGGTAAACGCACGGCCGTATACCGTTTTAATAATTTATTATGGTCTCTCTCTTTCTGTGGAAAATGGTGGAGACAAATGGTTTTCAGACTTGGCCTGAGCTGCTGTCGTTTTTCGAGTATTTTGTACCGTCGCGTGACGGATGATAACCCTCGCACACCCGACATATTATATGTATATAGCGCCGGCAGCCACCAAGCTGAATGTCAACAAGCGCCGGCGGACCTCTCCGTATATTACTACCTTTTGTCTCTAACAATCGAAAACTTCATCAACATGTGTGTGTTTAAGTGTATACACGGCGGAGCGCCTCGATTAATAATTATCAATTGAATGACATTTCTCGGGCGCGTTCGCTTTGCGCGCATATTAACCTTTTGAGTTTTTCACGTATGGGCCAAAAGGCGAAATGTTAATGAGTCGAAAAAGACGAATGCGCGAGATTTCCCGTCAGTTTTCTACTTGGGGCCAAGGTGATGGGGTGGTGGGGAAGGGTTGAATTAAGAACAGAAATCACCAACGCCGGTGTATG